GGGTTCCTGGCCGCGCCAAGGGAACAGCCCCAGTGTGCATATGCATTTGCCTGTGTGCGCCAGACTTACCTAAGGTTCGGACATGGGTAGTATGACGGCGGGGGAGTTATAACAGCACATTGCATTCCGGGCCGGTGCTCGTAGGGCAATACACTCCTGGAGGAGGAAGCGGTGGGCAGGGAAGGGCTCGGCCTTTTGATTTTCCCCTGCCCCCCAAGCCCAGACCAGGACTCCTCTAAGTGACGCCTCAAGTGTCAGTCCTATGGCTCGGAGATCCTCCCCTCAGGCCTCCTGGTCACCACTGAAGCCTTCAAGTCACCACTGAAGCATCGCCTCTGGGAAGACACCTGAAAGTCCCCCTCTGGGTAAGGCCTCGTTTCTGCCGCCCAGGCTGGGCCGTGGAGAAACGCTGGATTCTGGGGAGGGTCGGGCCCCAGTCGTTGAGAACCTGGGGATCCCGGGACCCTCGCCATGGGACAGCAATTACTCCACACTATTGATGGGGTGACGTTTCTGAGGCTCAGGCACTTTCTCTCTCCCCCGTTCCTTTGTAAGGGATAAGACCCAGTCTCACCCAAGGAATCAGTCTCTCCTTGCCTAGGGAGAGGTGGAGGGGATCACCATGGGGTTAGGGACCGGGTTCAGGAACACCCACTGCATAGCTCTTTAGGCTGAGGCGGACATTGGCGTTTTCGCAGGTTCAGCCCGCCTTGTCTGCTGCGGGGAGCAGAGAGAAGGCTGCGCTGCAGTCTGGGCTCGGGCCTCAGTTTTCTCGGCAGTAACATCCGAGGCTGTCTACCTCTGGAGGTGGTGCAGGGCTCCGAGGAGGAGGCCAGGACCCTTCTGGTAATCCAGTTACCGTTTCCTTACTCACTTAGCACTCGGCAATAACGCTGCCCATTCCTGACGGTGACCCGAGGCCCAGGAATAGAGGACACTTCTGAGAACAGGTCCCCAGGACCGGGTGTCCAGGCAGGGAGTGGGGCTGGCGGGCGCGGGGAGGAGATGTGACCGGTGTGCCGGGTTTCTTAATAAAACCCTCCGGGGGG